GCAGACGGTGGATTGTTGAGACTGACCAGTATTGGATGGCAGGAGTCGTCGCTGTCCTTTCCCATTGAAGTGCGGCTGGCAAGAGATCATAAGCTTTTTCTTTGGAACAGCGACTTGACAGCATCCAGGCTGTATCCAATCTGTGGCAGTCTCGTTATGATTCTTTTTCGTAGAAGCAGGGGCTCACTTGCAGACTCAATGTTCCCCCGACTTAAATGCTTGTTTCGTGTGAAAAACAAACCAACAAACTGCTGCTTATCAACTTGTCCGATGCTTTTTGTGGCAGCGGCGGAGGCGTTCTGCAACTTGGCAGAACAGTTTGTTGATGTGCTTGTTGTTGGCATTTTTAAACATGTTTTGGCACACTTTATTTTAACCACACGTAGATGGCCACGCGTTTTCAGAGGGAGAGTGATTTTTTTCGGTTCGCCTCGGCTTGCAACATGGATGATGAACAGCGCTCGCTTTTGCGCGTACAGTTTCCTGCCAGGGTGGTGCCCGGCTTTTTCTCCCGAGAGGACACCCGACGATCAAAAACAGTTCAAAGGTAGCTGCCAGCCCACTTTGCAGTCTTGCTGTCCTATGAGCTACATGTCCAAATTATATAATTGTAATGGTAGTAGGTAGCCTTGGAAGTCGCACAGAGATCTCAATATGTAATTTATGATAATTTATGTATTTTTATAAGAATATATGCACATACGAAGAAAGACAATAGTAAGTACACTAACCAAACATGATAGCGTGCTGGACTTAGAAAGTGATCTTTCATGACACAACTACGTAAGTGTTGATTGTCACTCACACAAATACACAGTTTGTTTATTTTTTGGTCCAGTATTTTATCGTTTGCATTGAGGAATGCCATATCTTCATGGATGCAGCAGATCGAGCAGCTTCCGCAGGGACTGCAGCTGGGAACTACTCCAACCAGCCCGGTTTGAATCGTGCCATGGATTCACAAAGAGCGTTTTGATCCCGAGGGGTCTGGCCGCCTTTTCCACCTCGGGAAGGCCTCTCCCAGTTCTCGTGGAGTTTGGGCGGCACGTGACCAATTCTTAGGAGTTTGTGCGGGTGTCTCAGTCATGCGCTCATATACTCAGAACGTACCACATCCGTCGCCTGTGCAGGGTTGTTCACGCTGATATGATCTGCGAAGATGCATAGCTTCTTGTTACTAGTAGTAACAAGTGCCACGCTAGTAGTAACAAGTGCCTTACTAGTAGTAACAAGAAGCTACTAGGAACAAGTGCCACGCTAGTAGTAACAAGTGCCTTACTAGTAGTAACAAGAAGCTATTAGACTTCAGTCCTCCCTTCTTCCTCACTCATAAGTCCCTGGAGTCCCAGTCTTAGTCCGGTTCAGTCTTCGCTGGGTCCAGACGTCGAGACGCCCCGGTCAACCGGTCGACCGGTCGACCCAAGGATATCCCATCAAGAAGTTGGATTTGGAAGCGCAGATGCTGTCGGACAGCCTCTTCCAAGATCGCGCCTCGTTTTTGGCGAATGTTGGCCCGCCTTTGGGTCATTCGGAGGAGGGCCTGCCCGATACTGAAGAGATTTGTAAGTCCAATAGCCACAAGAAATGACAACGCGAAAATGGTGCTAGATGCCTATAAGGCAGCAGGTGTCCCTTGGTTCATTCCATTTGTGGCAATTTCCACTACAGCACTGTGGGGAGCAAGAACTCAAATTCGGCCGTGGCCAACCTCCAGGCTTGCTCCCTTTCCTGGAGCACACCCCCTTCGCCTGCGAGCTCTTTGGGGCTGAGAGCTTAAAGGACCGATCTCGGCAGCTCAAATTGGACTTCCTTTAAACAGCGATCCAACATTTGGAGGTTCATATTCGTTTCTGGAGCAGTCAGATTCAAATACCTGCTGCATCAATAGGACCATGATGGACTGTGGGTAGTTCATGGCAAGGTGTGACCAGTTCGTGACAGTTCTTCCATTTGTGATGCATTTGTTTGATATGTTCTGGTATTTTTCCGTCTTGGTGGCTTGGTAATTGGTAGATCTGGGGGAGGGAGCGCTTTGGTGTCTCTGAGCTCCTCGAGGAGCTCAAAGCCTTTTTCTCACCTGGGGAACCTGCCGTGAATCGGTCCGCGCCTGACATGTCGGGCACGGGCACGTGGGTCGGGGGATGTGGACATGACGCGTTTGGTATTTGGAAACGAATTTAACACGGACCAGTTGCTTTAGGAGCGTGAGTTAAGCTGCTTGAGTTATATAACAAAATATGAACAACTCAAAGTCCAGAATTCTTGCATTATCATGCGGTCAACTCCAGCTCCAGTTAATGAGTTGTTGTGTAGAATGGTGAGGTGTGCTAGCTGTGTTTAGGCCTGGCACAGGCATTGCGTGCCACTTCATGACTGAAGCTCACAGGCATGCACCTCCGCCGCGCCCACTCAAGCTCCAATCACTTTTTAACACTTTTTATGTTTTTCTCTCATCTCGTCGCATTGGCTGTGATCTCTACTCATGCAAAAGAACAACTTCTTGACATTGTAGTTCCTTCTGCCAAGGGCTTTAATGTCGCGATCTTGCTAGCTTGACCTTGGAGAAATTTAGTGGGAGAAGTTGCCTGATGTCCCTGAAGGCATTTTGGACGCACTGCGCGAAAAGGTCTGACACCGCAAGTGCAAGCCTTGCTTGCACAACTTGAAACAGATTCTTCCAGCTCAGTCTGCCAACAAGTTTGCTCCGCCTTCTGTTCCAGCACCAGTCTTTCTCAAGCCACAAGGACCTAGTCAGCCAGCCACGCACCGCAAAAGACCGGACAAGAATGTGGCAGTGGCTCCGGTGCTTTGCCGAAGTTAAGGCTCCGGGGCGACGGCCTGCCATGCACTGCTGAATCCTTGCTCGCACGCTTTCAGCCTAACGCTAGCTGCCAGCTGCTGTCCTCTGGACTTCGAGCAGGCTCGTGCAGCAGCTTGAGACAGAAGCCGCCCTTGGACCAGTCAATGATGCACTTCTCCACCAGTTCGTTCTGGCGCAAGGACGCAGAGGTCGCACAGTACCAGCTTTTTCCGTGTATACTGAGCACTTGAAAGTCTCCTTCTGGGCCTTTGGAGTCGCCAGTTTTGAAAGACTTTACCGCCACTTCAGGTGCTGCCAGGGTGTCTGAAAAGTCTCTCAACATTTTACACACGCAGCATCCGTAGATTCCTTATAACTTATAACTTATAACAGTAGTGGATGCCCTTCGTGACTCTGATCGCATATGCCGCGTCCGTGGAGTTGCCTCTTCCTGTACAGCTCGGAACGACTGGAGCCTGCCTCATGCACGGCGCACGGAGACTCATGGTCTGGCCTCCATGTGGTTTGCATCCAACATCGCCATCACGGACTTCCTGCCATCCCGGAGCTGTGAAATCAGCCCGGTCTCCTCCAAGAAGGCATCTTCCTCTGGGCTCTGACTCGCCCTTTCAGTGATGCCTCCACTGAGTATCTGGCCTGCCAGCATTGCTCGATCCAGAAGGCCTCTGGCATGCTGCTGCAAAAACTCAATCACACCGCTGTGCTCCAATCGTGTGGTCGTCGGCGTCGGTATTTTGTGGGCCACGTGCGCTCGAAAAAAATCATGGCAAGTTTTTGTGCACTGTTTCTCCTCAAGGCATTCCCCGGGTCTCGGCCATCCAGGGCAACACCCCGATCGTGACCGGCGCCGCTTGTGCAAAGCCTGACGACAATGCCCTTTCTTGGGGTTGTGGGAGTTGACATCCCGACATCCCCTTCCAAACAACTGTCACTGTTTGCTGTCGCTGCAGTTTCCGGTCAAATCGTTCCTTTCCCTGTGCCGACATGGATTCTGGCGTGGGCTGCTTCCAGCTCCTCCTCAGAGCACGGCAGGCTTTGTGGACCTGTACAGTACAGGCTGATTATGAAGACGGTTTGAAACAAGTGCCCCAGAAAACATAGAAAACACATGATTTCAAGGATCACGGGCCCGAGTGAAGCAAGACTTGAACGCCCCTTTTTGTGTGATTGTTTGCCCAAAGTGTCCTGCCTGCTGCCTCCTCGTGCTGGCTTGTGTTTGATGATGGAGAAGAGAGCGATGGTCCATCAGTCCAGGCCGTGCCACGTGACACCAGTGTGACAGAGTCATCAATGTCAAGGAACTTTGTAGATGTTTGATTTGTGAATCATCCAAACCCACTTTGAGTTCAACAACAGTTGAACCGTTTGAGCCACCTTTGTTTGGAATCACAGGATTTGGACCGATTTCCACCACTGCAGGTACATTACTGGTGGAGGCATTGCACCTCATATGGATCGAGATCTTTGGCGAAAGTCAGCTAGGCTGATGTCATATCCAACACTTCCAGTCTAATAAAACCATGTAAAACCAATAGCTCAGAAATCCAAGTACTTCGTCACTTCCCTCCAGCTCTGAGCACCTGCTGTCAGTGAGAAAGGTCAGTTACTAGTTAGATATATTATGGGAATGGGTGTTTCCAGACTTACAAAATTGTGCGGCACTTTATCCTACAATATGTACAGATGATGGAATCGAGCAGAATTATTCGGCAGTGGAACCTCATTTTGTCAGGTTTACAGCATGATGTTCAGCAAATGTATTTGCTTGTAACTGTATAGATCCATGCGGAAGACCTTTGTTGCCTTTAGTGAGAAATCTTTAAGCGTTTAAGGACTTTAAACACAAATGACATCAGATGACCATATGGCAATAGGATGCAGTAGGCTTGTCAGTCCTATACTCATACAGCAGAGTAGATTGAGTAGATTAGTAGATGTCTTTGACGGAAAGATACGGAAAGGGCCTGATTCCCTACCTTGCATGGGTGCATCGAGTTCATTTGTATTTGCCACTTGGTTTTTGCATTGACTTCCACGCTGGCTCCAATTCTCGGCCAGCATTCACCAGTCACTACAGCGGTCTATTCAGCCCCTTTTTTGCTTCTATTGGGTTCAATGAACAACTTTTCCAAACTTGCTATCTAACAGGTCCTGGTTCTGGTTCATTCCAGATGGCCCCATGTTGGACCTAAAAAAGACACATTTGAACGAGGAGCAGCTGACCTTGAACGTGCTCCTCTCAGAAGCTGATGCCTTCCAGGGTGGTGGCACTGCTTTCTGGCCACAGACTAGATCTGACGCCAAGGACCGACGGGCCATCAGGTGACTGGCGACTGGCCATTCATGGCTTGGAAGCCTCATATGAATCATGAACCGAACATTTCTTGAATCACACACATTTATATACAAATCTTGGAACTGAAAGGGCAGTTTCTGGACAGGAAAGCAGATCTTGGACACTTGCCCAACTCAATGGTGATGCTTTATTGCTGTGAAAGGCCAGCATGGAGAAAGTGGATGAGGAGGAGGAGGATATGGTGGTGTTGCGTCCGCTACAGGGGACCGCAATCCTATTCAATGGCCACTTGGCCAATGGATGTGAAGGTTTTTGAGACGTACATAGATTCCGTGCTGTCTCCCATCCAAAAGGAGTATGCGACCCAATTGATGACGGTATTCGTACCTCTTCAATCGGATTGATCTCTCCGATCCGGAAATTTGTTTTCATTTGAGTTTGTTCAACCATTTCTTCATTTTTCTTTTCTTGGACCAAGATAACGGCAGTGGCTACAGGACATGGGAATGGGATGTGATCTCTGGTTCAGCATATTCTATCCTGTTCAGTTGGTCTTCAGCCGTATTGTGCTAGCTCTGACAGTCATTGAAGATAGAAGATATTGAAGGCCTATGATTTGTAGCAAGGCAGAGATATACAACAGGATCCACTAGTTCCAACCCTGACATGCCCGGACCGTGCTCAGGTCAAGTTACTCATGCTGGGCGCGCAGTGACGGCTGGCATCCGCCATGCATACGTGGCTTGATCGGCCGGGGCAAGGGAGGATTATGGAGGATTGGAATTGGCTACGAAAGACTTTGAAAGAGCTCTAGCCAAAGAGCTGCTGGATATCCGGAGTATGATGGGTTTGCAGCTTCTCAATCACTGTCGTTGAAGCGTTGAAGGATACAGACTGTGACTTCAGTTAGTTATATAGGCAGGTATTTCAGTATTTGATAAAGCCTTCACCTAGTCATAGCAACTTGAAAATCAGGTTTCATCCCCCATAAAACGTGCCTTGTTGCCAGCAGGCGGATTTGCACAGAATTCAGGAGGTCTTTTTGGGATATTCTACAGTGGGAGTCCTGCCACATGAGTTCTACAGGTTGACTTCGCACATCGACACATCGAGAGACTCTTGTTCAACACGGGCCAGTGGGCCAAGTATGGAAAGTACCCTCCAACTCCAACAACCAGCCAGAGCACCTAGATTCTATGCCAATCCCAGGGGGGTCCCACCGTTCTTTTGGGGCCCCGCATTTCAGAACATACCTGTTAACTTAGTTGGCATGGAATCATGGAACGCTTGTTTTCCCAAAGGCTGTGTAGCGGGTGCGCAGCCTTTGCCCCTTTGGCTCCTTAGGTTGCCAGCTTCAGCCTTGTGTGCTTGGAGTAGAAAAAAAAGATGCTCAACTGGGCTTGAATTGGGGCTGTCCCACGCGTTAGGAAGCCAGATAGGTGATGGTTCAGATGTGGCAGTGCGTAGGGGCGAGCGCAGTTCTCACATCTTCAGAGTTAGGACACCAGGGAAACGGAGTTTTACAAGGGAGTCTTTCTCTTGATGTAAATTCAGGGCAATTCAGGCTTGTGGGAGTCAGCCTGGCTTTTATAGTCTTTTTAAACACGTTGCTAGGCTAGATGGCTAGACCATCTGGGTCTTCCCGATAGTTGATGGTAGAAATCAGAGCATTGGCAAAGCAAGTTTGCTCTGCTTTCACGGTATGGCAGTTGAACACTATTAGAGTCCTGTCCCCGCTGAAAGCCGAAGAATCTCAGAGTTGGCGGATTGGATGGAATGGAGGAGTGCGGACACGTCTGTGGTATTTTCGATCATACTTGCAGTTTCAATTTGATTCCCTCCGCTACTCTCCCTGCTTGGACTTGACCACTCCACCAAGAAAAGCAATTACAATTCTAATTAAATTCTTATTGTTACTAGTAGTAAGGCACTTGTTTCTAATAGCTTCTTGTTCCTACTAGTAAGGCACTTGTTACTAGAAGCGATGCACTTGTTACTAGTAGCTTCCTCCGCTACTCTCCCTGGGACTTGACCACTCCACCAAGAAAGATGCCCACTCCTCCTTGCCAGTGTGCCTTGGCCGACCTCCTCCTCGACAGCCTGAAGGACCGGGATGGGTGAAGCGGTGGAGCCAGTGGAGCCTACTGGGGATCTAAGATTTGCAGCGAGGAGATGCAGCAGAAATACTCAGCCGGCAAGGCCAAGAGCACACGGAGATCAAAGGCACATCATCGAGGATCCTGGGAGTAAGGATGAAGTTTGATTCCAGTCCAAAGACTCCAAGTAAAAGATGACACATCAGGAGAAAACCCAACTGAGAGGGGGTCTTTCATGGCTGGCTTCATTGGAGTCATTGGTTAAGCCAAAGAAGATTGCCTCATACGTGCAGAACACATTCCGCATCCGACATGTTTCGAGACGGCAAAGCTTGACGAGGAGGGGCTGACTGCAAAATTCTTCTCAGAGTTGGTGATGTTTCTTTTCAAGGCCAGATGTCGCCGAAACCGACCGAGCACACGAAGAATGTAAAAAAAACTGGCACGAATGGGTCTCTAGAAGAATTTGAGATCTCCATTTTTCCAGCTGTGTTTGAGATCTCCACTCGGCTGCGGGGAGACCACGTGGAAAGCTCATTGTCAGAGGTGAGGGCCTCCCAAGCCAAAGGCGCTGCAGGCACAGAAGGGCCAAGGGGACTGGCTTGGATATTACTAGTTAACGTATTGGATCATATTGGATCCTTTTTTACAACCTTCCGACGAAGGAAGGAGTTCCAGCGGCTGGAGCAACAGTATGGTCAATGCACATTGTTTCCCCCAAAGATCCCAGACGCACTTTCTGAGTGGAAGGCTGCGAGGTTTTTTGGACCCATTTCGTTGTTCTCCGCCAGAGGCCACTCGCAGGACTGGCTGAAAGGGAGAGACGGCCTCAGAGCCCTGAGAGTGTCACCTTTATATTAATGTCTTCTATTCTCTAGTAGCGTTCTTGTTCCTAGTAGTCGTAAGGCCAGGAGCCCTAGTAGAGTCCTTGCTCCTATAGTAGCGGTGCCGCCCTTTGCTCCTAGTAGCGTTCTTATATTCTATTCAGCCTGAGACTGAGACCTTTTTGCACCACGCGTGAGAGAATGACTTTGGAGGTTTGACTGATGATGTCCACTCGGCCCAGAATGATGACTTCAAGCCGCTCCCAAACTTGCTTTTTTTTATTTGTTGCACTTGAGGGGGAAATCGCCAAGAATATCACCAAGACTCCATTAATTTCATGGGAACATCTAAATTTACTGTGAAAAACTTACGTATTGCACTGAAAAAGGCAGCCTAGTAGCCCAAATCTTAAAGCCGAAATTCAAGAAGCAATAAGCAACGCGATTCTCAAAGCCAAAAAGCACGCCAACATTAGCTCAGCACTTGCTGAGGGAACATTCCAATTATTTGCCAAGTGTGCTAGACATTTGTGACCACTGTCACCACTGCTACTAAAATTCAAGGAACCGAATCACAGGGCAACTGTTGATGTCTTTCATCCAGCGAACTAAGTGCAATGAATGATATTATATATGCAAATGTTGCAGACATCCAGCAGAAAGTCTCAGATGTCTCAGTCCAAATCCTTCGGTGTCCATAGCCACAAAAGATCTGTGGCCAGGTTTTTAATTGACCCACATCGTTATCCTGGAACATGTCCTCCAGGAGGACTTTGCTTTGGAGCATTCCATGGAGTTCCTCATTTTCGCAGCGTGAGCCCGACGAATGGTCCTGGTTAAAAACGGACGGAGTGGTTTTGGTGCTTTTTGAAGATACAATAGGGTCTTGTAAAGTTATCTCCTGTGCCCCCCCCCGCCACACACACACACACGTAACCTGGATCAAGCATGAGGTCTACATGTTGGATTGACAAAGCGAGACTTTTGTTTCTCGGGCTTCTCTTATGGTGTTATTTGTAAGAACACATTCAGCCCTTTTAGTTGACGTCCAAACACCCGGCCCCCGATTCGTCGTCAAGGAGGGCGCATCATCGGCCCAGCCTGGCCAGCATCAAAAAGATCTCCCCCAAGCTGATTGAGCCTACAAGCCATAAAGTCACCACAGTTTCCTTCGTTTTCGTCTTTTTCGCCTTCCACCATCCCAAGCTAGTTCCCAAGCTTTATATCAGCTATGAAGCTGGGATTGGTGTTCTTTTTTCGCGCGGCGACCGACCTCAGGTGGCTTGGTACTGCACTTTGGCAGTTCTCGCCACAGGAGCGGAACAGGCCACATACGGTTCCCAGGTTCCGGACACCACGGTTCCCACCGGTGAGAAGCTCGACCAGTGTCGATGGCCGATGGCTAAAGAAGGATCCAGCTTGGATCATCGACCAGTGTGGAAGGACCGACCCTGATCATTAGCCGCTTGAGAGCCCTTGTGCAGTAATTTTCAAGTCATCAAGCTATGATACATATGACTCATATGACTGACTAGTATGACCTATAGCAGTTTTGGCCTTGTTGTGGTCAGACGAAACACATCAAACAGCTAGCCCTCGTCTTCTTGTTTTGTTGGTTCTCTCGACCTTGCCACCAAGTCCCACTGAATGACTTGTGCCAGGCTGGCATATTTGGAGACTGAGAGTTCCTCCTTGACCTCTTTGATGTCGCTCCTGAGGTAGGCTCTTTGCATGATGGAAACCAGGTCAAAGAACAACAGCCTTAGGTAGTATTAGGGCCTTATGATGAAGAAGGATTGATACCAAGACAACATAAGATATCCATTCCCGTCCGACTCCAGCTTCAAAAAGCAGCCTTTGAACGCCTCCACAGACGAAGAATAGAATGCACAACAAGAGCAGTAGAGTAGTAGAAGATACAAGCAAATTGCATTTCAAATCTATGCGAATGTGGTTCTTATCCTGCGCAAATCCCAGTTTCGCTGGATGACAGGGCCAATCAGCTTCCATCAGAAAGCGAAGCGACGTTCGCTAATCCTTTTTTGAAGGAGACATGAATTTCCGGGCTCCATTCTTCATTGCAGTATCCAACAAGGTGAGCTGTATGTTGCTTCTTGGGGTGCAAGACCAATTGGAGGCAGTGCGCATGGGAACGCCCGTGGGAACGCAGGCTTCCAGAGATGGTCGAACCCGTGCGGTCTCCCAGTGCGGTCTCTGTTGGACGTCAAGTGGTGGCTTTTCCATGCTTTGTGTCAATATGAGTCAATACGATGAACTTATTCGACTTAAACGTAGCGATGACATGGTAACCATATTTTGCACGTGCAATTCATGCAAATTCATCCAGATGATGTGTGTGTTCCTTAAACAGCATGATTCCCCAAGAAAGGCTCAAATTGAACAGTCATCTGGCAACATGACAGAGACATGAATATGTCGTCTCCTTTCGTCGTTTCCAGGGCCGTTCGATGTTCGTCACCGTTCTTTGGGCCCACAAGGTGCTGGAGCGGCCAGCACTCCAGGCACACCGGTCATGGTGAGGGAGGGTTATGGCTGTGGCCAAGGCTACGCAAATAGGGTGCCAACTAGCTTCTTGTTCCTAATAGCTTCTTGTTACTACTAGTAAGGCACTTGTTACTAGAAGCGATGCACTTGTTCCTAGTAGCTTCTTGTTAGTAAGCATTGAGTAAAACCAGTGCCCTGGCTCGAACAGTTTTTGAGCACATGGTGTTCATCCCAGAGGTTGTCCCCCCGGTTTTCTTTTGGCCGGTCATCTCACACAGAAAGAAACGATCAGAGTATCACATTCCAAGGGATGATGTGCGCGTCCGTCATCAAGATGACCATCCATGCTTTGTGGGTGTATGATGGTATATTTGACTATATCTTGTAGCAGCTGTGGTCATCTCAAATTTTGCATGGGTTGTTGAACTTTCTATCATCATAAGTCTCCGCGCGACGGGGTTTGACGTCCGACTCTCGGCTTTTTTCGACGTCAGAGCTCGGTCCGTGCGGAGGCCTTGTTCCAGGGAGAGCTGGCGGATGCCAGCATCGAGTCCTTCATTCAACTGCCCGAGTCCTTCCTTGACATCCTCAAGGACCAAAGCAAGTCCTTCGGTTGGACTCCCTTGCCTCGCCGAGGTCAACTCTAGTCATCCAAGGCCATCCAAGGTCTGTCGTTGGCGTCACTGGCTCAAGGGCAGTGGTGCTACTCGTAGCGGTCTAGCAGCATGAACGACGGAGACTTTTCCGACAAAAAAGCTTCTGCACAGCCATGCCCTTTACAATTGAGGGGGTGCTTCTTTTCTCCTAGTCTTTGGGAGAAATTGGGCCAGAGACTAGGAGAAATCCTTTTCAGCTCCGATGTTCAGCTCTGGACATTGGATTTCACGACGCTTCCGGACGCCAGCGTCGAAGCGTCGAAGTATCGACGTCTTCGCCCCGAAACCAATCGCAATCATGCGGGCTCGTATGATTCGACCCCCCAACCAAGTCTGAACAACGGCAAAAACTGAGGTATCCCAAGGAGGTCCTTTTGATTTGTATGGTGAAAAAAAGCACGGGTAGTTTCATAATGTTTAAGACCCTGGTTAGTTTCAACAGTCTTAAGAGCATACCAGAACTCCAAACGGTATGTAGACATGTTTGGTAGAACATGGTAGAACATTGTTTGATGGGGTCCTAGAAATCAAACCAGTAGACTCGATTTATGCATCTACAACTCACCCTGGGAGTTGCTTGGAGCTACGCAACCACATGCCAGGACATCCGGAAGAGGCTCGTGGGCTTGATGAGAGTCCACGAGAGTTTGGTGAAGATGCTATGGAGTGCAACTGCTGAAGATGTCACAAAGTCATCACAATTGCCTTGGCACAAAGCCACTTCCGTCAAGGCTTTCCAGCTGGGGTTATTCACAATTCGCAAAGTAGCTACTAGTGAAGCCAATCTACAGGTTGTTCACCAGTATAGTATTGTAGATCTTGTTTCATGCTGCCAGACGTCATGAAGAGGACCCGCTGACCGCTTACTTTGCTAAAAAGTGTCCGGTTTCCAATCATTCGATCCCTTCCAATGCCCATGGCTTTCGCTCAATGCCAATGTTGGTGAACAGCAAGCAGGTGAGTCTCTGAAACGAAACTGTGTGTTTTTGAACTCCCCAAAAGGCTCCCGCGGAGACAAATGCCCCTGCGCTTGGATGCAGCGTTGGTCATTACATTCACTCACCATGGCCATTCACTGCATGGTCCCCTTGTGGCGTAACAGGCCGTGCAGTGCCTGCCAGCAGCAACCCGAAGAGCCGGCGCTGTGCTTGCTTTGTCGGGGTGCCAGGTCACCAGCTCTCGCGTTACGTTCACCCATAGATCATTGCATTCATGGAGATCGGATGCAAGTCCCTTTGAGAAAAACAAGGGGATCTTTCGGAATCTTGGGATGAACATCACTTAAAGGTGCTTGTGCCAGGACTTGTGAAAGGGATTGAATTCCAGGCCCCCCCTTCCAGGAGGAGGTGAAGGGATTTTGATATCGTTGATGAAGCTACTAGTAACAAAGGGCATCGCCACAAGCAGGAAGGACGCTACTGGGGTTGCTCCTGGCCTCAGTACTAGGAACAAGGACGCTACTAGGAACAAAGGGCATTTCTTCTTGCTCCCACATGTCCAGCTTTCTGGATTTCCCGGTCTCTATATACGTCAACTCACGTGTCTCAGGTGGGGCTGTCGTTTGCGTGGGCAATGAGGCGCACAAACGATGGGTTTCAATTTGTTTCCATGAAAAGGCAAACAATGGCAAACAGTTTGTTGACATATTCTTCAAACATCTTCAAACAGGTTTTGGACGTGTATCTTGCTTATTGTTTCTTTCAGACATGTTTTTTGGTTAAACATTAGCAACGATTGGGAGTTCTTAAAGGAGAAGAGATTCACTTCCACCGTCTTATGATACCTTCATGGCAAAATGGCCCAGCGGTAAATTTGGCCCTTTCCCCTTCCATTTGGGCCAAATCTGCCATGGGATTTTGGAAGATGACACACCCTTTCGAGAGAGACGCCTTCCCTTGTTCTCGATCGCACGAGCACCTTGAAGAAAGCGATGAACTGAATGCTGAAGACCCATTGTTTGTGTATGGTCTTGTGCAATCGTGAGCAACCACTTTTGTTTGGTCGTAACATGTCTTGACTAGATTTGTAGTCTACGGCATGCTCTGTTTGTTTGTCCAACAGCAGCTTTTGCTGGTGAACGAGATAGGGCCCCCACATACAGCGAAATACGTCTTTTGGATTACACTAAAGTAGTCTGAACGAGATACTGTGACATGACTTCCTACTAAAGTAGTCCAAACGAGATAGTGCCCCCACATTATAATAGGTAGTGTCAGTGTAATTGAGTTTAGTAGCAAATAAATGCCGCCGCTCATATTGACCACGGGACTTAAACACCAGGAAATGATGTTGGGTAGATTGCCCTGGTGGTTCAGGCATGTCGAAGCGAGGATGAGGCTGGGGTTCAAAGCCGCTCGATGTGGTCCTGATCCCTTGCTGGCTGCAACTAGAGGTCTCAGTCTTGGAGTTTTCCTGCACGTTTTGAATTGACTCGTTCTTGTTTTTCCAAGTCCCTGTTGAATTAAATAATTCACCATATGCACAGATGGTATAGCAGTATAGCTACAATGCCAGATCAAGCCGATGCTGCTAGCTATCGACTTTGAAGAACATTTGGTTTGACACAATGCTTTGTGCTGATTCTTGTTGACATGTTATCTTTAATTTGCCGTGAGCCGTATATAGTCCAATATTGATTATGAAGATACGACCACTACTACGGATACGACGACGACGACGACGACTACTACTACTCCTGCTGCTGCTGCTGCTACTACTACTACTACTACTCATTATTTGAAGGGCTTGAAGTCGCGGTGGGTGGCTTGCCTCCTTCACTTCAGTGCAAAAGTAATTTCACTAAACTTGGCACCGTTTCGTGTCCACCCCTAGGTTCCTCGCAGTGCACAACTTGCACAATATTGGCAACCAACATATACTGTAAACCAAACGAGGGAGTCTCCAAAAGTCTGTTCAGGAAAACAGGTGAACATCCTGGACCATCGACATGCCTGCTGCTAGTTGTATATGTGGGAATTGATCTGAACCCCCGTGTAAGGAGCTTTAATGGAGTTTTATACAATGCAGCCTTTCAAATGTAGTTAAAACTATCCGTTTGAAAGTGTGTTTTTCGCGAAACGATTTTCGAAGGTCTTTCATATTTGTTTTCTACCGACCGACAAATGGTAGAAATACAAGGCAATCCTCCGGCAGAGCCGTTGGGCGGAAGTGTCCCTCCATGTCCCCACTGTCACAGACTAAGGAACTGAAGCCGGAAGCCTCAACTTTTCCTTGCCCAGCCCTCGCAGTGCATAAAGGATTCTCCGATTCCTGTCGCCACTCTCGCAGACAAGCAACCTGACAACTTAACTTGTCCTTGCACAGCCCTGACAGTGAGTATATACAGAATTGTTTTCCCCAAGTTAGCTCACAAGCTGCAACTGCATCACTCTTGCATAGCCCTGACAGTGAGGCAATGACCCGCAGTTCTACTGGGTTGTGCTGATGTTTGCACATGTTATGCCTTCCCGGGAAATCACCTGTGACATTTCGCGAAGGACCTGCGAAAGTCTCGTTTCGCGAATGCGCCGCTAAAGTCAGTGTTCCAAGCTTGAGGCCCCCTGACATCCCCAAGCTGCATCACCTGGTGTTGGTCGCTGGCACGAGGATTGGGTCGAGTGGTGCCTGACTATTCTAAGCCTCCTCCAGGAAATGACCTTGAATGGCTGTGGCAACTCTCAGCATCTCTCAACCATATTCTGGGGTCATTTTGCGAGATGTCAGTCCCCTTTCTGTGATATTAACATATATATACACATATATATACATATATAGTCCAGCTTAAGTTAACTAGACATGGTTTTAGGACCATGCTTCGCGATGAGGCCGCGCAAGATGCGCAACACAATGTTTTCCGCGAAGAATGGCAATTCCATCATGAAAAAACTGACCAACACCATTTATATAGTAATATATATCTATATGACGTATATACATGTTTTGCAAACAAATGCGCTAAATGTGGTTTTGTTCTGCATCACTGGCAGGGGCAGTGTACTCTGCATGCTCGTGCATGCACGGCTGGGCAGTCCCTCTTCCTGCTGCCGTGCGGTGACCCATGAAAGGCAGAGGGCATTCACTAATGGAAACGTGCCTTCAAAAATGTTGGTGACAAAACTTTCCTTTCCCTCTCTGAGAGAGAGAGAGATAGACTCTCTATCTGTAGAAGGCTAATTATATTGACAGGCAAGATGAAAGGTTCATGTTGATCCATGTTGATGTTTTTTCGCAACAGTGACTGAGCAGGACTGCTCAAACGTAACGTAAGGGAGTTTGGACAAGACATTCCAGGACCCTTGGGACTGAAAGAGTCTTCATGTCAAAAGCACAGCCATACAAGGGCTAAAATATTGTTTTTTACGTACCCAGCAAGCGCAGCAGTGGCCAGTGTGAGGTCATTGCACCCCAAAAACCCGTAGTTCATGTTATGCATTGTTATGCAATACATGATAGACACCCTTGAACTATCCCGCCTGAGATTATGTGGGGTCAGGGTGGAGATGTTCTCCACAACTTGCAATAGGAGATTCGACCAATGTGACAAGAGGTATTGCTCAGATTAGAGAGGGTTTGCGTGTGATCCCACCCAGGTTCTTAGCGCAAATCTTGGCGGTGAGCGCGCCTGATTGCTGCTTGTGGGATTGCCCGTGAGCCGGCCTGCAACGCTGTGCTTGTACTTTTCACACGCTCGATGAGTACGTTTTCGTTTTCAAGGTACGTAAGACTGCTTCCTCCAGAGGAAATTGAGGCAGATGGCAATTCCTTGCCGATAAAGACAACGTTTTTCGCAATTTGGATCGACCGTCGCCAATTCAGCAGGCAAATGGGTTTGTATTTCAACAAGGAGACCCCCGACCAATGTGGTTTGGTGATGTTTGGGTGGCTATGCTCTTCTTCCAAGGTAATTTGAATACACGCTCAAATTGTTACTTATCCTTTTATGTTTTTTCTAACCACTTAAAAATTGTTACTGCAGACATCAGGTACGTCGACAAGAATGGCGAACCCAATCCGAATCACAGACGGCCCTGCATCATGCACTTCAGGCGGGTAAGTGAAGGTGGTCACGCGCAGGGTGATGCAGGTGGTGCACGGGTGCATATGGGGCGCTTTGTATCTGTGGACATTTCAGGGAGATCACCCAGGCGAACTCAATCCTGTGTTCACTGACAACGAGTCCACACCTCCTTTGAAAGGGTTTGAGTTCATGGATTGAGTGGAAATCAACAACATGGGTATTATGGTGTCAAGCTACCTGGGGAAGTCCAGTTCGCGCCTTCGAAGGCTGCGACCCCTCCCCAGCATCTGTGATTGGCCCCAGCTGAACGTTGGAGTGTCTGTTTTCAGCTCCAAAACGGAGAACAACTCTCGACCCACCCCTCGAATTAGCTCGCTTCTGCGCGGGGACGCGTCCGCGCAGAGACTCGGGAGACAGGTTGGACCATCGTCGCTGGGCATCTCTACGAGAAACCTTCGTGAAGTCTGCCGTGCGGCGAGAGATCTTCCTGTGACCCGGGGGTTAAACACGAGACGCAGGATCGGGGTGTAGGGAAAAAGGCTTTTTTCTTTGGAGAGGGCGTGGCTGGTCTTTGGAAGATGTTCAAGTAACGGTACAAGTCGAAGTTCCGATTGGGCGCGGTGAAAATGCCCAACCGACGTTGCAAGTAGAAAGTAGCTATTTAGTAGTAACTTGGCAGGTACAATGAGAAGACTGGGCAGTACATCCCAGATGCTCTTTGATTGTACGCTCCTCAGTTCAGGAGCTTTCCTTTCTGATGCTTTCTGGTTTCTGGTCTGGTCTCACCATTCTCAAGTTCTATCGATTTTTGGAGTGGTGTGCTCCAGCGTTTGGTTTGATGCTACATCCTGAGAGCATGTTTCAGCATGCTGGGGATCTGGGTAAGGTGATTTGGATAATGCCTCAACTTGGGAATCTATGGGACAAAAAGGCAGCACCCTAGCACCCTGTCCAAAGCTTCATTGCCTGAAACACAGTTTCTGAAGAAAGCTTACTGTAGGCACTCCGAAGATTTTGTGTAAACTGTAAATGTGTCTAGTTCATGATTTGATTCCTTTGCTTTGGGATTTGGATTCCTTCAGCTTCTTCGCAGCTTTTCTGTTTGCCCGACACAGCATCGAGTGCTCAGGGTCACGAAGAGGTCGGGCGGCGCAGGACATGGCGGTGAGCGTTGCCGTGCAGTTGATGAGCGGCAAGGAGTGCGTCGTGGACATCACACCGCACATGACCGTCGGAGAGGTGAAAGAGCTCGTGAAGGTCTGGACCTTTCTATACATTTGAGACATTCAAATCTCTACGGAGTTTAAAGATGTTTAAATAACAATGTCACTTTAAACTGTGTACTGAGAATTGGCTGTGGGTTCATAGCTGCTTTGGCCAAAGTTTTGTTGGCTGCAAAGCCATGCCTATGACATCCTATGACGGTAGAATACATAATTCCATCAGAGAAATTAAAGGTGAAGAGCGAAGGGCAGCATTTGCGAATACTTAGAAGCAGTTAGCTGAGCGCGCTATCTTAGGGAGTCAAGTGTCTAGAGAACTTCTGGTGCCTTGGCAAGGCCTGTCGGACAAACGGCAAACCCTAGCACCCTCAAACTTGTTTAATTATGCTTGATCATTGCAGATCGCAGTTCATTTCTTCGATCTCACTTCTTTCAGCCGTTGGTGTTTCGTGATGCGGTTGGTTCAGCCGGGAGAGCACAATTCCCTCAAGACATTTTTATACACCATTTATATGCTTTATATACAAAAAAATCTGCGTCAGACTGTCAGACAGTGTCATGCCAAAAGAGCATACAAAAAAAATCACGTGTTCGCAAGGTGTGGCTGCCTTGCGAAGATGAGTTAGCCCGAGAGTTGAGTACTGTACAGCTCCTGCTGGACGGCAAGACACCTGATTTCTGCATAGGGTTTTTGAGGTTCTGCATTAATTATTTGTGCGCTTGAAACATGGTTTGTTGGGGCGAACTTCCCGAAACAAAGAACCGCCTCTAATTTCAAGTGGTATTCGCATGTTTTTGCATTTATTGCTGGTTTCTTCATCCAGGAAGTTGGAGGATGATGACGCGTATGCGCTTGACACTGGACTCACTCTGACTGCAAAATTCCAGGTTGGTGAATCTCTCAAAGTCACCCAGAACCTGCAAGACTGTCCACTAAGAACCGCGAGTCACACGTCCTGCAGAGATCTGCAGAATTCCAAGAACTAGAGATCAGTTCATCATTTCAACATCAATTCACAGAACTTGCTGCATCTTGATATTGAAGCCAGCATTGTGTGTTTCTGCCCGGAGGCCATCTTTGCACCATCGCGACCTCAAGAGTGTATGAGTCGCGCAACAGTTCGTGATCCTGAGAGGCTGATCGATGTTCGCCTGCCCGAGATCAACTCGACCTACAGCATCCCACCCCGTGCTTTTCACGAGTGCAGGGCCTTGAGACGTGTGGCCATCCCCGTGTCCGTGACCGGAGTTGGAGACGATGCCTTTGCACAATGTCGCTCTTTGGTGAGTTTGGCCATTCCCAACTCTGTGACATGGATTGGATTTGCCGCTTTTAAAGGATGTCGGTCTTTAAGACATTTGGTGATTCCTGACTCTGTGTCCATGATTGGAGATGGAGCTTTTGCCCAATGCAGCTCCTTGACCAGCTGTACTGTGTCCAAGTCCATAACACGAATTCGAAACGATACCTTTGCTGAGTGTACGTCTTTGGGAAGTATGACCATCCCGGACTCTGTGTTTGAGATTGGGAATTATGCCTTCCAGGGGTGCAGCTCCTTGACAAGCTTGACCATTCCCAATTCTGTAACTTTGATTGGACAGGGGGCATTTGCAGGCTGCTCGCTGAGAAACTTGAGCATCCCCAGATCAGTGATTCATATTGGGCCCATGGCCTTTGCAGGCGTCTCTGACACCTGCGAGGTCTCTGTTGGAGGGGTTTTCTCCTCGTGACTTGCTTTGACACTTCCAAGAACACCCAGAGGCTCGATGTTCGCAGAACACATCCTGAACACAAAAGGACCGTGGCCCAAACAGGAGCCCACTCCGCATCTCATGCTACGTTGGTCGCTGGTCACTAGCCACTCCGCGTCACTTCACTCTACTTCAGAAACACCAAACGTATCCAAACGTAAGCGGTGGAAAAGGAGGCGTTGCTGGCAGAAAGATGCCGCAGTCCTCGACTGTCAGAGATAGAGATCTGCCGGTACTGATTAATTGATTATATACATTAACATATCGATCGGTACCGTCTTGGCGTTTCCAATTGAGGTGGGAATAGGGTCTCCGTAGATTTACGAGGAACGAAATCATCTTAGCTTGTAATGAGCAAGGCCCAAACGATGTTGGCGGGGAACATCGTGCTCAACCTAGGCTTCATCAACTTGACATTATTCATCTTCAGACAGTTCAGACGGTTGGCTTTCTTTGTCCCTGTAAAAGCCTCAAGCCTCCCAAGACCTAAAATGTTTTACAGACTTAGGTGATTGGCGATCTTTAAGACCAAAGAAAGCAACAACCTAAGGTCGTTCAGTTCGTCCAGGTCGTTCCTGTTGACTTGAAGCCAGAACGCGAGCGCAGCGGGAAGAGAGAAAGGACCTTTGAGGATTTTTGGGGCATAGGATAGTGTAAACACGATTAACATAGCACACACTCTGACATTGGTTTGCTGTTTACTCAATTCCCACGATGGGAAGGAGGGTGATAGAACGGCAAGGTGAAAAGGTCAGTGTACTTGTATTGTTGAACATTGTTTCCGAATGGCCTCTGTACAGGTGATGCAGTGACGAGCTCAAGAA